GGGGGGGGGGTATACTGCGCTAATCTATGATCACAACATTCCATCTGCCCAGTTCTTAGTTGAAATAAAAAGTAACTTTACGTAAAACATTTTTGAGTTTCACATCATGATTAAGCTTTTTCGAATGTAATTCGTTGAATATCTTGATTACAACTCCGAATAATCTTACTCACAAAAAATAGGAGACATATTATTATTATTATCATCATTGTTATTACTATTATTCTATTTGTATGACCCATATCTTCAATAACCAGGTTTCTTCTCTTCTCCTGTCTCTCCAGAGTTCGTGAACAAGCTGTGCCAGCACTTGGACCTAGACGGCTAGTCGGAGGCTGTACCTTAGTGTCATTTGTTCCCGACGCCATGTATGATAGCACTATCAAAATTATAGTACATGTATAATAATTAATATATATGGTATCGTGGTGAAATCAGACGCTCGTCATACTACTGAAAAAAGACACCCCCCCCCCCCACACCTCATTTGGCAATGTTATAGAATCGATTTTGGGTTTATTTGTTTTAGGGTTACCACTTTTTACGTCCACTTATAATCACATTTGTGCGCGTGGATTTTTATTGAAAAACATTGATCAAAAGCACAAAAATGTAAATTTGCAGTTTGAAGTACTCTGTTACAGCTGTAGAAGTCACCAAAGTTGGCAGCTATTTTCTTCATACTCTTACCTCTGACGGCCGACGACACCCACCTATTTTTATTACAAAAATCTCGACTTCTGTTCAAGAGAGATGGACTTTTTTCACCAAAAGCAAGGGAAACAAATGAATAGGGTTTTAAGAATACCTGGATACCTGGATACCTGAATACCTGGAGGTATCATCCCTGACTCAGAGGTTGACGTGTAATGACTCTCCATCCTTCACGGTCGCGAGCTGCAGTTGCATATTCTGCCAACATACAGGCCAGTCCATGTTCTCATGTTTGCCATCCGTGCTACTCTTCGCCTTCCTCTTTTTAAGAATACACGAATATCGTCCTATAAGAGCCAGCTCCACGTATCAAGGTTTTAGCGAATTTTTCAGGAGGAACAAAAAAACGATTAATGTAGGTATGTATGAATGATCAACACACCGGAAACCGTCAAGCCCTAAAAGTGTATCACATGATACATACGTGATTTAGGAATTCTTGGCGTTACTGTCGGTTCCGTAGTAGAGTCTAATTCTTGTTGCGTCATCCAAGTTGTAACAATATTGAAATCCATTCTGCTCTTTTCAAGATGAGCTAATTTGGAAGCAAGCAGCTATGATAATTGAAACAGTTATTTGCTTTTCATAGCGATTTTAAGGCGGGGAACTCAATGAAACTTATACAGAAATGAAGTCCACTATACGCGCTTTCGATTGGTGAAAACATTTTTTCGCGCCAAAATCATGATACGCGGATGTGGCTCTTATAGGACTATATCCTAATACCAGAAACTTGCCGGGCGCCTGATTCCACCGCGAAGAGACATTATTGTCTTGTTTTTGTTCCGAGCTCCATGACTCATCCCACTTGGGTCTTACCTTCCGTCCATCTATGACTGTGATATTTATGAACATGTTGTAAAAAAAATGAACCAAATAAGTTGAATTTGTACCTTACATTCCCTTTACTTTGTAGTTGTTTATCTATTATTGTATACTAATTCATTTGCATATTGTTTCAAAACAAATGTTGGAGAGGTGGGTGTGGATCTGTACATGATGTATTATTTCCCTGTAATATCGCCCTACTTCGAGAAGATGTTACCCTTCTTGTGGAGGTAGATTGCAGCTCGTGCCTGGGGCGTCGATGGTCTAGTGGTTAGACTACCGGACTTGTAATCGTGAGGTTGAGGGGTCGTGGATTCGAGCCGCGGGCCTGACGTTGTGTCCTTGGGAAAGGCACTTTACACGAATTTTCCTCACTTCACCCAAGTGGAAACGGGTACCCAGCCATAGACAGCGAAAGACCTTGTCAGTATGTTAGTCTTTTAGCGCCTATAAATGGCTGCTTGCACTGTATGCTTCCCAGGAAGTTGAGTTTGTTTCAGAATGCTCTCAGGTCTGCTGGGGTAATAGTATAGATTGTGAAGCGCATAGAACTTGCTGTTGAGCGGGGATTTGCGCTATACAAATGCTCTCTATTATTACCTTCTCCCAAGGTAGGAATTGTTTCTCTCTCGTGTTGAGATTAGGCAAAAGTGAGAGTATTACAAAAGTACAGTAAGGAACTCTATGGGATAGTAACTTTACACGTCACCAGTGTGCATCGATGGAATATTCACCGAAACTGTGTTTTGTTTTCATTATTTTTTAAAGGAAAGGATTTTTCAAATGGTACCAACATTTTGGAGAAGCTCTGTTCAGTTCAGAAAGACCATACTTTTATTTTTCAGTTCAAGTGAAAGAGAAAAAAAGTTTGAGTTTTAATTATTAAAAATAAATTAAAATGAACCTTATATACCTATACATGTCATTAATTGCTCATTGAAAGAGTCGTATATTATGACGATTCCATAGACTTGCAATCCCACCTGGACCGCGTACTGTCATGGCCCCAGCTCTTCCTTTTCTACAACATGCTGCAAAACGTGAACACCCTAGGCCACGCCATTGCTCTACAATGAAGGCGGGAACATGCTTTGTGTCTTAAGGTACAAACACAGTGGATCGACCTTTCACCCCTTTCGCCAACTAAAAACAAAATGTGAGGAAAGGGATGAGAATGGGAAGGGACCTGAAGCGACAGAGTGGATTTG